TACAGTAATTTCCATTTTCTTTTTTTATCAGTTTAATTGCATTACGTTAAATTGCAAGTTAAATCATGTTTTTACGATATAGGCCTACAATAAAAGAGTACGTTACATTATTTCTATCCTAGGACTAAAAAAACAGAAGACTTCTTCTAAATACTACATAGCCAATTTACTAACGACACGGTTACATGATTATACATTACACAGTAACCTAACATTCTGGGATAGCACTAAATATAATAACACACTGCAAGTAACAATTGCAATATCTAACAAGATATAACGTAAATACTAAATTTGAATTTTATCGCAATTCGTAATAAAAGTATACCTCTTACTTCTACTTATCTAAATTAATTTATTATAACATCGACTACATTGAAAAAAAAAGTATCATAATTCAAAGTAAAACTAGAACAAAAAAAAATTTCATAAAAAACGTTGTAATAACAAGCTTTTATGTACAAATGCACTAAAAAGTAGAAAATAAATTATAGACTACTATTTAAGTAACTATAAAGAAAAGCGTGGTTGATTTTATTGGATACCTTTACTAATGTTTAGGAAGAGACCCGCCGCTTTTCTTTATAGTTATTTAAATAGTAGTCTATAATTTATTTTCTACTTTTTAGTGCATTAGTACATAAAAGCTTGTTATTAAAACGTTTTTTATGACCTTTTTTTAGTACTTTACATGTTTTTTTATTAACAATAGAGTTTTATGACTAAAATCATTTGCACGCGTATTGAAACGTAATAACGCGCTATTGAACGTGATGTCGGGCGTGGTGTGGTTGGATAAAAATGCCTACTCATTTGGTCAAAATTTTAATTAATTCTTTAAAAAGTTAATTAGGCATCCAATAAAGTCAAATTTAATTTCAGATTGCATTTTTTCATGTCTTGACCCACGTGCCAACTGTGAACCGTATCTGTCAAGTAGAAGTGTCCGAATTTTTGCTCGAGCGTTTCGATCTAGATTGACGACTGACGACTGACGAGGAAGTGAGTTAAATAAAAGCTTGTAAATATGCATTATTTTATACGTTTCTAAAAGATGCCACCTAAAAAAAACACAAATGAAACGTTAAATGAAAGGTTATACAAATTACTATGATATGAATAATTAATTTTTTTTTGTAAATAATACTTTCATTGTGTATTTGTCACAAAATAAAAAAATGCAACGTAAATCAGATAAACAATCATTAGAAGACTGTTTTACTTTGTCATCAACATTACAGATAAAAGAAAAATAAATAATATTTGGCTGCATTATGTAATAATAATTTAAATAAATCAAAGACAAGTATTTTTTTAAATTTAAAAATATAACAACGATTTATAAAATGAAGTACAGGCATCACAATAATTTGAAAACATGTTATCAAGTGTGTTGTCACAATAATTGTGTAGACTATTTTTTTTAAAATCACTGTCATTTGCAGTTGCATTTTCAGCAAAAGTGATATAAGACCTCCCATATGTATATATATATAAAATACAAAAACTAAAATGGTTAAGTTTTCAGAAACAACTACATTAAAGCTTAAGCTTAAAACTAGTTTAAACATTTCTTGCATTATTCCTCTTCATATGAATGATTACTATTTTCCATGTTTCCGAAATGAACCACAAGGTAACATAAGACGACCTTTGAGACTGCGATGCGACTAAGACGGAAAACTGCGAGGTAATCGTTAAAGTACACTATATTACAGCAGGTTTTTTTTTATTTACCATTTTTCCAATGCAGACACAACGCTATTTAAAGAAAAAAAAACTTTAAGATATCATATTATTTAAATTGTTTTTGACATTTTGTAATTTGTACACGCAGCTGTATGTATCTATTCAATATTAAGATGGCTAAAAGTGTAGTCATATTATACTATATTTGTTTTTTAATAATACAATTTTTATAATAACAAGCTTTTACATATACACTAAAAAGACAAAAATAAAATGAGAAGTAACACGACACCTTTTGTAAAGAAAAAAAATCTAGAATCAAAACATATTAATACTGAAATATATAGTTTTTTAAAAACATTATGTGATACCAGAGGCGTATCCAGGTTTTCGTTGTAGGGGGAGCGAAAAGAGCAAAAAATGCGCCGAATCTTTAACACGTTCAATATGCGTGTATTATATATAAATATATATATATATATATATATATATATATATATATATATATATATATATATATATATATATATATACTTATATATAATTACTAGCTGTATCATTACTTCGCTATGATGTAAAATAAATTGAAAGTAGCACTGAAGAAATAAGAAAAAAACACACAATGTAGGCCGACAAAACAAAAATTGTATCAAGCTAAACAAAAAAAATATACACATACTACAACCAAAAACAATGAACGTAACACAATCTGTTTTGTAATTCTTGTAAAAAAATTTTCTTACATATAAATTCCTGGGAAATTTTTTAAGACAAGTGAAATAGGGGAAATAATCACTCTCTTAATGTAAATATGTATATATCTACACAGTTAATTATACATGTCGAAACAAATAAATAATTACTTTAGATTATAATGAAATTGTTCAACACTATTCGTGTATACAAAATGTTTTTGTCTATAATCAGAATTTAATATCGTCATCATAAATGCTAAAGTATTACAGCATAATGAAAGTTTTTAGAATCAGAGTTGGTATAAAACCACAATTTTTGATATAATAGAAAAACCCTCGGAATAACAGCCTACATTTAACTAAATGTTGGTATTTTAGTTCAGATCATTTATTTTTAACTAACTGCTGCATCTTTGTGTTCTTTAAAAATAATAATTTAATATGGTGATATGTATGGGTTAGATCACTGTATTGATCACACACCTTTTTACTGGTACTTGCAAAAACCATATTCACAGAGTTTTACGTTTAAAAAGCTAATTTTCTGGCGGCATTGTACTTTGGTACATCATTACGCGTTTTTCTACATGTACTTAACAGATCAATCCGGTGTGGGTTCGGAAGGGAAGGGGGGGGGGGGGGTGGGTGGGTTCGACTTCATCCACCACTGTCCGGTCACTTTAGGTCAATTATTCAAACCCAGTGTATACCTAGGTGTGACATTAATGTCGCTCTACACAATTGTGGTGGTGAGATGTGTGTGTGGGGGGTGGGTGGGGGGGGGTGGGGGGAGATAACCAACTCAGAGTGAACATATCGTCAGTTTTTAGATGACTGTTCTAAACATACATATATATTACACAAATATATATATTACACAAATACATATTACAGAAATAGATTTAAATAAGTAGCATTGGTATTATGACAATTTTTTTTTTTTACAGAGGGGTCCATGGGGGAGGGGCTTGTAACTGTTTCATATAATTTGTAATCGTAATCACTATGGCCCAAACTGTAAGAATACTACTACTTCATCGTGATGACGTTGTTGACTTTGTCAAAATTTCCCCACCACTACGCAGTTTGCTCATAAGTAAATTTAAATAGAGGTGCCACATCAGTTGTATTTGTTTCTGTATTGTAATTTTTTTTTAATTAATCACACGATTCAAACTGTATATATAAAGTAATTATGTGTGAAGTTTTATGTATAACATTTTCTAATTCAATTATTCGTTAGCAAAAACATTATACAGTTTCCTTAAACTTAACACCCCTCTTGCCAAGTCTTACTACCCGTAGAGGTTTTTTAAACATTGCAAATCATCGTAATGGTTATTTTTAGAATGGCAAACTGATGCAGCTGTTAAAATACGTAGACACTACTAGACTAGTACAATAATGCTTAATTGCTGCATGAAAAGAAATCTTGTGATTTACATAGATGTGCCGACCAAAAATATTTTTTAACAAATATCATTGTTTAAAACTTTGAGCTTAAAAAGTTTCCAAAAAAGGCGCCACTTTGCTGAAAATGGCCAGAGGGGAAGCGGCCGCTCTCCCTGCTCCCCCCCCCCCCCCTGCGTACGCTACTGTGTGATACAAATTTAAAATGTGAAATGTACATTATTAAAATCTTAGGACTTAAAAACCGACAACGCAAATGGAAGTTTGGCAATGATAAACAATGTATATTGTATCGCCTCCCGCTTCTTTGTTGGTCATAACTACGCCAAGCCTTTCCATAAATCAGGTACCAATAAGAGCGTGGATAATTATGTAATTATGATACGGAGTCCAATGTAAAGTAAAACTGGCGACTGTAAAATAACAGTCCTGCGCTATTTTATTCACATACGCTGTCTCAAAATAATAAAAGTAGTAGTATTAAAACATATTAAACTTGAAACGTAGAGAATATACAAAACATTCCGTGAAAAAATTATAATATATGACAGGCACAATTACTTAAAAACTTTAGGACATAAATAGTCAAACACAGTGTTTATATATATATATATATATATATATATATATACATATATATATATATATATATATAATATGTAAAACCTACAAACGGAATTTATAATGCATGTATACAATCCTATTTTAAATTATGTATTTATTTGTATTTATCATGTATTAAGTTTTTAAATAAAGTTATAACTTACATTTGTAAACTCTAACATAATTATTTCCGTAAACAATTTTGCCATAGTAATTTAACAAAATTAAACTTGAAAAATATTGTATTCATGTTACAACACATTATTTATCGAATATAAACATAATTATACTCCAACTTGCTAGCTGGACATTTGTCCAACAAACAATCTCAGCAATATTCCTCTCTGATCTTACAGTAGACGTTACATATCCAAGGCATGTATATTTAAAACTAAATTTGTGACACGAAGTGACACGAAGTAAAAAAAAATCCTTTCACATGGATCCTAGTTTTTACTGCTGACATACCAGCTAGCCTATAACTGGTGACAAGAATTAATGTAATAGACGCACAATATATGCAGATTATCCTGTCCTATCGAGGTTTTCACACTACAAATATAACTACACGATGAACGACATTAACATTATTTCATTTCTTTTTCAATCGCCGTTTTGTTTTAGTAAAGTACCATGCTCATCATATCTACTTTGGAATCCAAGGATAAATGGGTCATTTTTCAACAGCCAGTTGGCTGTTGGTCTTTCTTTAGCTTTGCTGTGTAAAACCTTGTCTAAAAATTCTCTTAAGTAAACTGATGATGTTGGAGGAAGTTGGTAACGCAGCTCCCCCATGGATGTTCTAAACAGGGCTTGCGCTGAGATCAAGGAGGAGTTGGGTGGTTTTCCTGTCAACATCTCTATAACAGTGCAGCCAACACTCCTGTAGAAAATAAAATCCGAGTTTAATGTTACATTTTAAAGCAAAATAAAAACCACACATGTTGATAGCAGCGTGACGGTTGAGCTCCTCTTCGCTTTTAGTAAGTCAATAGCAGCACTAAGCAGAGATATAATACCCGATTAAATAAAAATGAAAAAAACAGTAACAGGAAATAAAGTCACGGAAAAAAACACAATGAAAAACACATGAAAATTGGCAATACCAATAATTTCGAACATAAAGTCCGCAAATAAAATAGAGATATTTTGTTAATGTGTGGATAAAAATGAGGCAGGGCGTTGTTTAATTTACGAATTTTTTTTTATCTTACTATGATTTTAGAAAAAAAAATAGCATTGGCGGCTTGCACATCGAATCACGGTTAGAAATGTAACACAACATGTATTTTACATATGACATAGGGCTTTAAAAAATTTATGACAGCGAAAATTGTAATAATCTAAATATTTTACATTTTTTGTGTTGACTGCAATATAGAGTTGAACTTCATGTTGGAACTGAAATAACTAAAATAAATCACATTATTTTCGTGGTTCGTTAATAATCAACATTACATACAGGTAAAAGAAATATTGCTTACCATATATCAGCACTGCTTTTGTACTTTATAATCTTGCCGCCTTCCGTGTAAATCACTTCTGGAGCCATATATCGTACTGTTCCTATCTCTGTTGCCACTCCCTCCTCATCAATATATTCAGAAATTCCAAAATCAGTTAACTTTATGTTCATGTCGTCTTCCATTAGGATGTTGTTGCCTAACGATTTATTAAGGAAAAAAAACATTCTATCTCTATTTTACTTGTCTCAGACGGTTAATTAAAAATAATGTAATTATATTGCAGATTTATTTTGTGTTTGATTGATTTTTAAATACCTTTAATATCCCTATGCAGTATGCCTTTTTGATGCAGGTAATCGACACCCTCCAAAATTTGAAACGTAAAATCTCGAGTCAACGTTTCATCAAGATTTCCTTTCAGAGAGATATGCGATGCAAGATTTCCCTGACAAATTTCGATAAATATATTAATTTTAGTTTTTGCGTATTATATGTTTTTAAAAATATTAATACTAACGATGCTTTTCTTTATTTATTTCTTTTTCTTTATTATTGCGTTTAAAAATAGTTATTGATCTACCATATATTTATTTTTATAATTTATTTAATTATATTTACAGAATAAAGCAAAACAAAGTTTCTATTGATAGCGCCGAAGCTTTGATTTGTTGAAAATCAACATGGATATCACCTTAACACAGCAAATGAATAGTTAAATAACAAGTTGGTAAAATTAAAAAAAAAACTTCTTAATTATTTTTTTTTTTTACATTTTTAATAAATTCCAAAAAAATAAAAAATGTATCTGTTTTCCTCTGATAACCATAAAATTGAACGATACGTTTGTGCTTTGTCTTGATAAGAATTTCTGCCTCTTTTTTACAGACTTCCTGTAATAAAATGTAATAATACATTATATAATGTTTGTATCTAATTGTATAGATTAAATAATGTATTTAATACTATATTCTTTTTTTTTTATTTAAAACGTACATTTTAATGTTTATTAGCCTTCATTGACAAATAAATTCAGTACAAAAGAGCTGCATGTGACTTGGGTATACTTTAAGTTAGGTGAACGAAATTTCACATATAAGTATTACATTGTATGGGGAGATCTCTGTTACATTTTGAACGATTTTCGGTAATCGGAAGTGGTATTTTACTCAATGTCTGTTTCATCCAGGTGGACAAAATTAAGAATAAGGTATTATACTTTGATTACGATAACTTTCTCAAAAAATCAGAAGTTGTACTTTGTTCCATTTATAGTTTCTAAAATAGCGATCATACTGTACGTTTCAGTAAGCTGGATTTCGAGTGATTACCCTTAACTGAAAATAGTACTTTTAGAATTTCTGATTTCGCAAAGAAAATCGCTTATACCTGACAGATTTCTTGCACTTTTAGATTCTTTTGGATTTCATAATTCATAATGTAAAAATGAGTGGAAAAAAAAGTTTAGAAACATAATTTTTTATTACAGTGTTCATGAAAAAAATAATCATATTTTTTAATATTACACGCTTGATTCGAAATGTTTGACATCCGCTATTAAATTGCATTTGGTATCAATCACTAAAAAGTAAAAAAATTAAAACAAATACAAAAAACCTTTAGAGCAACAATCATTTAAATGCACTGAAAAAAGAATATAAATCTAATATGTTTGCTTTCATAAAAACTTTGTTTGCTAAAATATGTAAAAGAACTCTTGAGCAAACAAATCTTCTGTTAAAGAAAGCAAATTAGTTTTAGTTCCTTGAGTGGAATAAAATGAAATGTTTCAGTTTTACCATCTCTTTTGTAAAATTAATTCTTTTGGCGACAAATTTTTTATCCTCAGGCCTACTTGTATCTCTGACAAGATGTACACTACCAAACGCTCCTTGACCTAACGGTTCAGCTTCAACTGTAAACTCTTTTGGGAAATCTAGAGACACGACTCTTTCTGTTTTAGAAAAAAAGAATGGATATAAATGTATGCAGTTGAGTTATTTAAATAACTGGTTTTAACCTCGGCATGCGTTATATGATTTATTTTTATTCTGCCAGGCGTTATTTTGTACTTAGTGTGTACTTAAATTATTAAGAGTAAATTTAAGTAATAATCAAATGCAATGCATTTACCTGCATTTTTCGGAAAACATTCAGCTGTTTGTCCTGCATTCCAAAAAATAGAAGTGACGTGTTCATAAATATCGCTGTTTCCAGAACTGTCCAGCTTTGACAAACTGTCCGTGAGACCTTCATTTTGTATTATTTGCTCGCTGGCCACCTTATCTATTGTCATCTCTTTTAATAAGTCCATTACATGCTGCAGCTGCTCCTGATCATTATCAGCAATGACTTCTTTCAACGTGTCGATTAAAGAAATAATCTGTGCAAGGATATAATTAACATGAAAGCTAAGTTACCTATTTTATTGTTTATTTTTAATGATTATTGTTATCACATTTAGAGATTGTGTTATGAAAGGTATCAGAAAGCGTATCAGTATTATAAAAGGTATTTGTATAAACACAGTTTGTGACTATTTTATACGGTACGCAAGTACGAGAACTTTGAGAGTAGTGTCGTTGAATCTGGGGGAATAAGTTTAGGGCAGTGTGCGTCTTGTTGCGCTAGGGTGTTGAACTATTCTTTCCGTCCTCAATAAATGGTGTAAAGTTATTCTAAAAATGTCATTTAGTTCAGACATCGTTTGGTTTAGTCATCGTTCAGGTATGATCAACGTAAAGTTAATTTAATTTCAAGCATAATTAAAAACAAAGAAACAGGAGAGTCTAAATGCTACTTGATGGTTCAAGCGTTGTAATAGTATTGTCGACCTTGTACTTTAATCTCGTATCGTAACTAATGGTCGATATCAATACGCCGTTAACTTTAAATGTTTTATTTTAGTGAAATGGTATTGCTTGTTTACAATATTTTGAAATATAATCATTTGTTATGCATGAGTTGAAATTATAAGATAGTTATTCAATGATCACTTACTGATTTAATTATTATTACCATGCTTTTTAACACACAAGTAAATCCAATAAATTACTGGCTATTTTTAATCAAAATCATTCAGCATATTTATGTGAATTAATATACAAAATAATAACTTTTAGAAATGTTCTTAGTTTATACTTACAAAACTACCCAAGAGGTTAAAATGCGGATAGTATTGTTAAATTGCTATTGCAGACACCTGATCTTAACCGTAAGATAGTCCACAAGTTATATATTAGAAGTTATAGACAACACATTATAATATAGAGCTCTATCAATGAATTAAATATTTCCTGGTGCCATGTGATTACATAGGTTGATGAAATTTGAATAGTCGCATTTCGAATTTTTTAACACATTCAAGTCACGAGCAAAATTAGACCTACAAAAAAAAACTAGTTTTTTTCTCTGCGGTCCCTATGTTGATCACTGTAGTTAATACAAAGCGCTTGTCTAATAAGCTGTGTGAAAAGGGTTTTGTTAGAACATTTATTCATATTTTTTCCCCATAAACTGGCAAAACGTTTCTAAAATAGTTCATCTTATATTATGTTTAAGTGTACACGATGACTTATTAAGAGATACAAATGATATGCGAACTCTTGTATGGCTAAGTCCCTTAAGACAGAAGCAAAATGGATTTATGATTGGCAGTTACCATATGCTTCTATACTGGTAGTGATGCTAAAGATAAAGTACTGTGAGGAGTAAATCACATTACAAAAGAAAAAAACAGAATATGAGTCTGAGCCCCTCAAGCGAATGTTACACATGTGAAGATCTCTGGTATACATAAAAAATGAAAGTTCCTTTTTGTTCCTTTCTAATATTCTCATTTAGCTCATTACCCGGTGGTCATCTTACTTAGCGGTCAATCGCAGCGTGCCACTATCTACATGTGTGGTACAGGTGCACTGTCTACTCAGAATGTGCAGATTGTCCACGTTATTTACTCGTATAAGATAAGATAAGGGGAAAGTATGGTATTAGATTCGTAGTTTATATTGTGGAACCTCTCCACGAAACAGATGGGACCCCGTTGGAATCCTCTTTGCCACGCTTTGGGTTTTGTATCGTAATAATACTGTTGTTAGAAAAATGAAGAGGCTCTATGAAGTAACCAGGACCCTATCACGCAAGAATATCAACCCCAACAAACCAGTAAAGGATAAAGTAGGGAATATCTTAACAAGTGACACAGAACAGAGAGACAGATGGGTACAGCACTTTGATGAGATTTTAAACCATCCTCTCTCATCAAACATCCCTGATATACCACCTGCAAACCACTTCTAAATGTGTGTACAGATCCACCCACAAATTTAGAAACAATAGGAGCAATAAAGAACACGAAAAATGGCAAAGCAGCTGGTCCGGACGGCATCCCACCAGGGGCGCTAAAAGCAGACCCAGCCATATCAGCAGACATACTACATCCTCTACTAAAACCGATTTGGGAAGAAGAGATAATCCCATCTGACTGGAAACTGGGATACCTGATAAAGCGGATAAAGAAAAGAAGCGACACCTTACACAATGCAACAACTGGAGAGGGATAATGCTTCTTTCAGTCCCAAGTAAGGTGCTGACAAGAATCATCCTAGAGAGACTTAGAGATGCCTTGGACAAAAAGTTGAGACAAGAACAAGCTGGTTTTCGTCAAGACAGGTCATGTACTGACCACATTGCCACGCTGCGCATCATTATCGAACAGTCTCTTGAGTGGCAATCCCCCTTATACATGAATTTTGTCGACTTTGAAAAGGCGTTTGACAGTGTGAATAGAGATGTCATCTGGAAGTTAATGAGCCACTATGGAATACCCAACAAATGTATATCTATCACTCAGAAACTATATGAAGACTCCACCAGTCAAGTAATACACAAGGTAAAACTAACAAACCATTCACGGTGACGACGGAAGTAAGACAAGGATGAATGCTATCGCCAATGATATTCTTGATGGTAATCGACTGGATCATGCTGAAAACCACAAAAAAACGACACAGGAATCCAGTGGAGTTTCACCAAAAGGCTGAAAGATCTTGATTTTGCCGATGACATCTGCCTTCTATCTCACAAGCATCAACATACGCAAGCCAAACTAAATCGGCTATCTGAAGAAGCCTCCAAAGTTGGACTAAAAATCAATAAAAATAAAACAGAGGTCATCAGAATCAATAACAGCCAGGACCTGCCCATACAGCTAAACTAAGAAGATGTGAAACGAAAACATTCACATATCTGGGAAGCATGATCAATAAGGACGGAAGCAGACGAGGACATAAAATGCCGTATCAACAAGGCTAGATGGGCCTTCAACTCACTGCGCACGATGTGGAGGTCCACGGCCCTGTCACTCCGGAGCAAAATTGGGCTTTTCAACTCAAAAGTCAAGACAGTGCTGCTCTATGGTTCGGACACTTGGAGGGTTACGAAGACAAATACTAATAAGCTACAGGCATTCGTAAACAAATGCTTACGGCATATACTTAAAATAAGATGGCCAGACAAAATATCAACAAAGACCTGAGGCGAACTTTAAAGCAACAGCCAATAGAGACAGATATCAAGGTCCGTAAATGGGGATGGATCGGACATATATTAAAAAAAGAAAAAGAAAACATCGCAAAACACGCTTTGGACTGGAATCCCCAGGGAAAAGGCGGGTGGGCCGGCCAAGGAAGACATGGAGAAGAACGGTTGAAGAAAAGCTGAAAACAGCTGGGCACACATGGGCACAGATAAAGGGAGCAGCCCAAAACCGAGTCCAATGGAGATGTGTGGTTGCAGCCCTTTGCCCCCTAGGGGCCACAAAGGAATGATGATAATACCGTTGTTAAAAAATATTTTTTGTAACACATTAACATTTACTTATGCAGTTACTTCTGTTATTAATAAGTATCTAATCCTAGCTTTAATGGTCGCAAACACATGTAGAGTTACGTTGTTATCCGACCTATTTGATATCTTAAGTTAACTCCAATGTTCTTATTTTGCCTCTTGCGAAATTGTCCCGAGATAACAATTGTACACTGCTGCTGTTTTTATTATCACATTAATCCTGCCCGTGACTTATATTTTGTTGTAGGATATATTTGTTATATTTTATTCAATTAAATATTAATACTTGCACGTTGTTACAGTGGAATCACGATTGCTTTGTTGTTCGATTGATTAAATGAAATGAGACAATAATGCCACGTTTGTATTAGTAGGCGCTGTTTCTTTTTAAATGCCAGTGTTTGCAAGTATTGGGTAACTAAATCTTTTATGTGGGACGGCCTGGCTGAGCGATAGAGAGTTTTAGACTGTTTACCCGAAAGTTTCGACACCCAACTTTTATGGGTAGGCCGTACCTACGTTATGATAGGAAAAGCAAAGAAGGTTAGGCATAGCGATGACAACGTTATGCTTCCATCTTATTCAGTTTCTAAAACAGATGAAATCTAATTCATCATCTGCCCCATGTGTCTAGTGCCACCAACAGGTAATAATTATTATAATATATATTAAACTGTGTGCTAATGTGTCGCTCACTTACTTGAATATTCAAAAAGTAAGACATTCATGTAACAAAACAATTTTTTTTTAATAAGTACCTCTAAGCGAGCTTCTGGGTGTTTCGCGAATTTCGGAAGAGCTTGAAGTAACTCAGAAATATGAAAGCCGCCATGTGTTCTACGTGAATCCGCAGAAGCTTGTCTGATGTAATCAATTGCAGTTTTGATTTCCTCTTTTATACACAACAAATACAAATGCATATGTCAACAAGTGTCGTCATATCGATATCATTATTAAAATTTGATACAATTTGGAAATAAAATACAACATTTATCATTTCAAATTATGTCATGTTAATGTGTTCTATACTGTCATTTATTTTTAATTTCTTCGAATTAACGAGTAGACTAATGCTGTTAAATAACTCATATAAAGAAGAAAATAGTTCAACATACCAGTTGTTGTTACTACAATATCAGACTCTGCAACAATCAACGAGAGCAACATCTTCTTTATGAGTGAATCACGAACGTTGGAAAGTGTTACATCTTTCAGTACCTGCACAAACATGGTATGTTTGCCAAACGAAATGTGAGGGGGAAAATTCATTTTAATACAAGATGAAAACATATGTCTCTAATTAAATTTTTTTATCACATCGTTAATATAATTTTAAAACTATGTTACACATTTTATTCATTTCTAGGTCGAACACGACGTCACATATGCATTTGTGAATTTATATTATTTTATATGGACAGGCGGCTTTACTAGTCGACGAGCTGGATTATTATATGAAAACAAATTACTGGATCTAGTTGGACCCGTGATAAAAAAACAATGTGTTCTTAACCCAATCCTAAGTAACAACATATAATCAGATTAGATTCTGTGACTATGGATCCACTAATTTCTTCCTCTGTTTACTTTAAACTTCGTTGGTAATTTAAAAACAAAGGACTGCGGTGCTTTAACACAGGCAACGCAACATTTATGTTAATTTAATGGAATCAAAACATGACTTCTGTTCCCGAGACCAAATAATGTACTCAATACTGAAACTATTTCACAACGGGCGGAATGTGGCAGCGACTTCTATATTTTCCTATCGAAGAGAAGCAAGATGCATTTTCTCCTGTAATTTTAATAATTATGTTTTGCTTTACGCTTAATTGTGGCAACACGAAAAATAAAAATCATTACTATAGATGCGTAGTGGACATGGCTAATACCCCGTGTACTTGGTTAACTGTAAATTGATTATATTAGGCTGGTATCGCAATGTGTTAAACTGGTGCTTTACTATGTTAGAATTATTGCTAAGTCTGAATGGTACCATTATAACCCATGTTTCCTTGATAACAACTTGCCATTATACTACTCTAATGCCTGACTAGCATATTGTAGAATCAAAATTGATCCTCAACTGAATACTAAATACATATTGTTTTGTTTCTGTATAAACATTCACTCTTAATACGTTATTAATCGATTGACAATCAGTAAGCTAAAATTACAGTAGTTTAAATTCAATGGATTGCTAATAGGAACATTGCATCAACTGATGATATTTTAAAGTCACAAAGCAATGTTAAAAAACAAACTTTGAATTTTATAATTGTGTTGTTATATATTTACCTTAATGTCATCCAGCACTTATTATTTGATTAGTTAATAAACCATACTTACCCTTATTAATCCGTCAAAAGAAACCAATTCAGTTGATTCTTTTCTACGGGCAATGTTGTGTAAAATAGCAATCAGTTGTTTAGTTACAAATATCGACTGGGAATTCTGTAAAATTGTTGTTAACTTTTATTTTCTTTAAACACAATTTACTTTGACTAGATAGCAATCATTAAGTGTTACTTTTATCACGGTTTAAGCTCAATGATAATATTTAGGACAAATTATATTTTGGTCATATATTTAATATAGAGTAAAAACAATCCACTCTGACAAGATTTGTAACATGTTTTACCTATTGTAAGCATGTTGTTTGGAAATAATTGTCCTTAAATAATATATACTTTAAAACTAATGATTCTAAGATAGGAGAAATTGGAACTTACGATTATAAATATTAAATGGATAAAGGGTGGGGATTAAAATAATTAATTAATTTAGGTATAAAAATAGAAAATAAATATGAAGAGTTGATTTTCAAAATGCAATATATCCAAAATTTGGGTTTCGAGAAAATCGCACTTTTCTCCTACACGAAGCCATTGTACAATTTGCTAAAACTGTTTATCAATTTAGGTTCATAACCCTCATATAAATAGGACTAGAATGGTTTTTGAAATGTACCTGCATAAAAAGATGCTTTTTTTTTGTCCCAAAATTTGCGTTTAGTTGCAAAATGAGGTATATCCAGCTTTTGTTAAGCTACAAAACGCTGTATATCCATTTTTTTCTGATAATACATCTAATGTCCAATATTTTAGTTTATTATTTTATTAAAACCCACTTATATTCCCAGTGTTACCATCTTACTACAATTGTACCATGTTTTTCTGTTACTATAAAGTGTTTTTATTGAGTAATTTCAGTTATTTGAACCATTTTCAAAATGATGCAAGTCTCTAACGAGAGACTTTAATTTGAAGAGTACAGCTTGTCGTTTCTACTGTTGAACTGTGTTAACAAAGTCTAAAGAACTAAAAAAGTCAACATAAAATAGTTTTAAAAGAAGAAAAAAGTTTATTAGTTTATACTACAATCATAAAATGTAAAAGAAATAGTATGAAATAAAAAAAAAGGTTGAAAACAAAAATGAGTGAAGCAAGAAAAAATAAATAATTCAGACAAACTAGGCACTATCTACATCAGAGTTAGAATGAGCAACATCCTCAGTAGCATCACATAGCAGTGCCTCATAAGAAATCTTTATTCTCTCCTCCACTCCTACGGCTTCGAGAACACAAAGAACATCTGTCTTTTTAGCCACCTTTACACAGTTCTTTTTTCCAGGCTCCTTTGTGTTGAATGAATCCCAGTTTTTCCCTAAAAAAGTGGATATATTAACCATGTATTATTAAGATAATTCCACTGTAACATTGAAAAAATAGAATTTCCATTATCGGATAAACCTCTGGACAATAGTCAGTTTTTTATTGACAGTAACTGCAGTACGAGCAAATCCAATATAGCAAACTGAAGGTAAAGCTATTTACGTACACAATGCTGAACAAAAAGAAGCCTGGCAAACTTGCAGCTTGTTTCCATCACTACAAAGAAAGTATTTGATCGTCATGTGTCTTGTTTTTTCCTCTGATCATTCACTCTTTTCGTGTTGTCCACATCAAGCAAAGCTACTATAGCAGCATCTTGTGACACTTTGTCCAGTTTGCTGTAAAAATCTGCATGGCATTTCACCAGGTCATCAGGTGTTATATCTTGAGCCTGAAATAAATAATACAAATGTATGTTTTGCTACAATAAAAGATTTAATTTTATATTAAAAATTATACTACTAGTTACTAGTTAGATCTAGTAGCTAGGGCTAGCCCCTTGCCTTGCTTAAAGTTATTGCTAGACTAGACAAACGAGGACATACAACCTAGATGATAAATCGAAGTTTAGATATAATATTGACTAGAATTGTTAAAACTTTCGTCTAGCTAGTAAAAATAGTAGGCCTAGATACTAGATCTAGAATATGTAGTAGACAAGTAGAGTAGATAATCTAGACTAGAATTAGATCTAGAATCTCTCCCTACTTTTGGAATGTTAAGCTAGAGCTGACAGTAGCCTAGACCTACTGGTATTCATACATTTACATTCAAAACTTCACTCACCAATTAAAAGAACAAGCTAGATATCTAAATTCTAGTAATACTAGATCTATGTATCCGTGTTTAAAAAAAAAGTAAACTCAGGCCTGCCTAGTCAAGATAAGTTACAGTTTTATCTACAACTTACCTTGCAGAATCCTTTAATATGATTACACGAAATGGACGGGATCATTCCTTCTCCTGAATGACGAAAGATCTTTTCTTTTTCTCTTTCTGTGCATGACCTCTTCTTTTTTCTGGACTTAAATGTCAGTACAACACTTTCGTCGTGACCATCAAAGTCCGCCATTTTAACAATTGTTTCACTTAGAGATGCTTAATGCGCATGCGCAGATAAATAGTAATATTTACCCGGATTGGTCCGAATCGATACCGCATTTTGACGCTAAATAAAATCGACAATGCCGCGTTTTGAAACCAAACGTTTTTTTCAAAAATAGAAATAAAATGAAAATTTTGCGCCGTGAAGATTAAAATTAAGTTTTCCTAATAGTAACTGAGTAGCTTTACAATATGGGCACCTTATCTCATTTTTTTCAAAAATGGCGCTTATCGCGTTTTGAAAATCAACTCTTCATATATATAAACAGAAGACACCATTCATTAAATTGAAAATTCTGTTAACGTGACTTTTTTCCGAATATGTTTTAAAAGATTCATTTCAAATTACTTTTTATAACACATTATACAAGAGAGTGACATTTTAATTGTTTACTTTTTAAGTGATGATGTGTAAATCCTGGTTCAGCATTAGTAGAAAATAAATGAATGCGCTTTTCCGTTATGTTATTGTGAAGATCGCTTGGACATATAATGAAGCGTATGCGCATATGATATGACTAAATATATCTTTTCAAAAGAATTTTCATGTCACACTAAAGTCTAATACACATTTGCTCATTTGACATCTAATTTTTCTTCAATGCCAGATTCAAACCAGTGTGAAGCATAGCCATTCACAACATCATGTACTTTTTTTTCTATTTTTATTAAACGTCCATCCTGTCATTTACAATTATGTTCCTGTTTTTACGTCTCTGTCTTTTTCTTGATCCTTGTGAATTGCACTAAATGCTTTATCATGCAGTACCATGAAACGTAAGGCCTCCGCATTCATTTCCTGCCATGAGATTCGCCATGTCCCTTCATAAACTACTATGGTGGGTATTTAATGAAACCCCATATAATATAATTTCCATTTTTGGCAGCTATTCGTACACGATTACTACCTACACCAGACCGGTTTTTTCATCTTACAATGAAACACAACATACGTTAGATTAAAATGCCCACAGTTTGATCTTATTGGTTGTTTGCGTAGAACTGAGTTTTTTATAAAATAAAATAATAAGTGTTCAATTAGTTTAATATAAGATTTACAATCTATAAACAAACATGTCAGCTGTAGTTAAATTGTATATCAAAACTTCATATTTCCTTCACTGTTAATATATCTGTCAATATATATGTTGGGCGTTTATATAAAGCGTATGTCAGATGGCTTATTAATTGATTAATTGACTTAAAAATTAAAATCAACTTATATTTAGTTTAAACGTTATTGGTCTGAGTCAGCTGAGATTGTGTTTAAATATAATTTTATGCTCTGACTTACGTTTATGTGACTAAATGATAAGATAATATCTGTAAAGAAATCCACTGCACCATGTAGAGCCAATTTCTGAAAAAATATTGTATGTATATATATATATATATATATATATGTTAAATACTATTTTTTATTGTAATCTATCGCAATGAATCTTTGAGATATGTAGCACCCTTCCAAGCACCACTCACCGTTACGTCTATAAACGTGTAATTGTATGTATTTATTTTTTTCATGCATAGACCTACAGTGAAATCTTTAACAATGGCATTCTATTAGCATATATTAAATCAGTTCTTAGCTTAAAAGGCGAAAAATCTACATGTATGTGTTTTGGTAAGCGAACAGTTCACAACTGTTTTATAGCAGTCAAATCATGCAATCAGATTTACATTTCTTGATAACAATTGCAATATTAATACTCTAATTATAATATTCCGTCTTAATTTTAAACTTAATACGAGCTCTTAACAGGACAATCTTCATGTATGTGAACTTCGGGTTCAATGAATGGGTGACACGGCGTTTACTGCAACAATATTTAAAAATAGCTTTCCAATCGTAAAATGTATCTCTCCTAATGCAAATTCCATCAATTTTATTTTATTTTCAAACTTTGGCTAGAAGAAAAATGTTATTAATTTGGGTGTTTTCCAATAGAATACTTAGTATTAAATGACATTTCGTCGATGAGTTAGACTTTAAAACTTTTTAGGTAGAAATTCGTTTGGACACGCATCCTAACTATTGTACTGGGAGTTACTCAAACTTAATGCATTTAATTTTTCGAGAAATTAACCGCCTGCCATATTTTTTAAATAGCAAATTAAGTAACATTTAAAGTTTACTTCTGTATCTTCTATGTGCTGCTTATATGTGCATTGAAATACAACACTACTTTAATAAAACAATAAAAATGTTAGTTTTAATTATCAGTGAGGGGCCACATTTTCGCCGACTACACCCTGATTATTAGATGTTATTTTAAAATAAAGTGAAAGATACATTAAGCAATTACCTTCGCAAAATCTGGTATTTCGTCACTGCCTGTCAAGAACAAACTCAACATATCACGAGTTAAGGAAAGTGAAAAGCTAGGTGAAGCTGGATCTAGTAGATTTTCTTCTTTCAAATACGAAATCGATATTTCTGTAAACGACAAGTGAATAGCCTTTATTGACAATATGCTTTTTGAAATTGTCTTAGTTGATTGATAATGAATAATAATAAAGATGATTGTGTTATAAAATCTTCAAAATAATATTGAAATAATAAAAAAGGAAAATAAAAATACCATATTTAAAATTAAATTCACATTACGCTGCTGTTGAATGCATCATACATGATACATGTAATTCCATCATTAGTGACATTTTTAAAAAATAAAACGCCCTTCCGAACGTTATTGTCAAACGGGCCATTTAACTAGACTTCACCTGTTTTAATGGCCTTGGCATATGTAAGGATAGTGTGATAGTGAGATTAGCACTCTAGGCAGCCACCTTTCCTGTCTTTAACATTAATGTGATAGTGTGTCTGGTTCACATCAGTGTTGGGTGGAATCGTCCTGACTCGAGCCCGAAATTTGAACTCGAGACTTTCTGGTTAGCAGTCGAATGCTCTAACATTCGACCACATCGTCCCATAAAAATACTGTATTAAGATATTTTCTTTCGATCCCCTTCCTACACGATTTAAGATAACGTAATATAAACAATTTTACGTACCTAGATACTTATAATCATGAAGTTTTTTGAATAAAGTATAACGTGTATCTATATGGCGTTTACACATCTCACTGTCTATCACATTCAAAGCTCTTTGGTAGATAAAAAACGGCAACTGCTCAAAATGTTCCATGCTTGCATATTCCGCCATTATTTCTGTAGCATATTCCAGTAATTGTTCCAATTTTGGTACCTGTATAAATTAAACACGTTTTTAAAAATAGTATTAACTAGACACCACATTTGCTTTTGGTAAAAGGTATGTCGGCTGCACTTTACACAACAACTAATATTCAATTACGCCCACCTCACCGTTAATAAAGTATATAAACCTCACATAAATCATATTCTTAGATCCGGAATCCCTCCGAATCTCATTAGAAGGTCCATTTTAAGGTCCATGCGGGATTGGAGGGGTGGGGGTTTGGAGGTTGATAAAAGAATCGAGTTTGTGAATGTTCGGACTAGGAGGACGGGATAAGGTTAGTGTGATGACGCAAGGTTGCGTCGGAGAGGTCAAGTGATTACAGAAACAGGCTATAGCGAGTTGGTCAGAGAGAGACCAATAAAACCAATAAAAATACGGGAACTGACCGGTCACGTGGGACGGTCAGCTGACCACTGAGGCGTGGGTCAGTAGAGAGATTAGCGGCAGTTGATACGTAGCTAGGGAAGAGTGGAGAAGGTGTTAGGAAGCGGTCAGAGACGGTCGAGATATGTAGGGCTAGGTAAAAGTTGATAATTAGTGTAGAGAACGGTCAGATAGGTAGATCTAGGAAACGGCAGACAGTAGTAGTAGAGAGTATAGAATAGGCTAGTTAGGTAGGTAGAACTTGATTCTATAATTTCAATAAAGAACATTTTATATTTGAACTTGAACTTGTGTTATTGGATCCGTTTCGCCTCTTAAAAATCCTCCCCCCTCACAACTGGTGGAGCGCAGGTCCAGGACGGGAAAGAGAGTATATCGGTTTACTCATGACTGAGTACATCTGGTGTACAGCTTTCTTTAACTCATCATAACAGCGGGTTTCTTCAACCGGAACGAGTTTGGATTACCAACACAAGGGAACTGTCACCATGTTCACAAAGATAAGTACCTTACAAAAATTTCTTTAAACGTTTGGGTTTATACCCGTGCTGGATATTTGGTGCCAGCGGTTTTTCTGCCTCTTTCTTATCTATTTCTTCAACCACAATACCCTTAAAAATGCCTCCATTGTACGAAGTGGTCCTTAAAACTGAGCCCGAGTCAGGCCTAGAAGAGTCAGGTAGAATTGTTGACTCGTTACTAGACACAAAGGTTCAGAATACAGTCAAAGTGAAACGCAACTCAAGAACTATTGAGGATCCAGATGTTCTGGATGAATTGATTATTAGGCTTGGAAAATACAAAATAACAAAAAATCGAGACTTATTACTAACTGTTAAAGAATTTGACATAAAAACTCTAGATGACCCAGATGCTATGGAAGATTTGATCAATAGACTTGTAGATTACAAGGTAACCAAGGATCCAGACTCCCTGTTGACTGACGAAGAATTAGATGCAAAAATAGTTGCCGAGTTAGCCTATAAACATGGACTAATGACAGCCGAAAAACTGTTGGCAGAACAAAATAGAGCAGAGAAACAAAGAGAAGCAGAAACATATATTGCCGGACTTAAAGAAGAAACAGAAAGAATTCGTAAAAAAAAGAGAAAATTAAAGAACTTTGCCAAGCCAAACAAGAACAAAGTAGAAGTGAAACGATTACACAAGAAACGGTGCAAAGTTTAAATACAAAACAAACAACCAATCAGATAGCATATGCACCAACATATTAGTATTCAGATGAATCATCCAGTGAAACAAGCGAGAGATTTTCCCCAGAACGCGATACAGCTCATTCAGTTCAATATAATACGAGAAATCATAACAGACAGATATACTACAGTCAATCAGAAGACTATCACAATGTCAGATGCTACTACTGTAATAGAACAGGCCACAAACAAATACATTGCAGAATACGATATTGTGTTAGACGCCAACAAGATGTACAACTTAATGTAGAATTTTTGAGCCACAAACAACAAATAAACAAGCATCCCAGTATTCGAGACAACGAACAAGTAGACACAAAAGTAGGCGAGTTGCGATTCAAAATGGACAGGTTGATAGAAGAAATTAACGAGGATATAGGAGATCACTCTATAAAGACAACCGAGATTGGTGCAGATGTTCATACCTTT